GTAAGAGCTTCTCTGTTACGTTAAACTGTCGGTAGATGCAACGTATGTGGTGCGAGTCCCTTGTCGGTTCAGTTCGAGGATTCGCGTACGAGGATGTTCTTGTTTCACTAGAGAACTGTATTCTATTTGGTTCCAGTAGGAAGAACACATTGTGCTCTATCACATTATGGGCCCAAAAAAGAGCAAAATGAAAAGTTTTGGAAAAAAGTGGGTTGGACCGCACGTACTCACGGTTGTCACAATTTCGGCCCTTCCTCCAGACTGCAACATTTTTTACACAAGGCGTTAAAAATTAGTGGAATGTCAAGAAGAAATCATGACCAAGTTCAAAATGTATGCCTGACTGATTTTATCATATACTAAGAGAAAATTATTTCTTTACGTATGCGGTCATTCCCGGGGAGTGGGCACCTATCACGTGGGCCTAAAATTCGCCCTATTTTATCATGGAAATCAAAACAAAACACATGTTCTAATAGAGCAGAAAAGAAGCTCGTGAAGACATATTAATTGATATAAATGAATGACATTCCAAAGAAGGAATTTCATTCAAAAACCGTTGTGCGTTAGTAGGCAATCAGAAAAAATAATTCGAAAGAAATACGACAAAGCTTTTTTTAACAAAACCTGATAGCGGAATGTTTGAAAAAATTCGCGTCCAAGTGCGGGGTACATCATTGATCGGTTTCTCGAAGTGGATCATTGAGTTAGAACTACCTGTCGGTTAGTGTAAGTTCCACCGACTGGACCTCCCATTTCGCAGACCCAAAGTTCACCGCGTCTGCAGGGAATACGGGAGCAAAACATAAAGTTCTATAGAGCAGACAAATCCCTTTGGAACCATATATGATGACATGATATGAAAAAAACATAGGTTTTCAGCAGAAAATTTTCCGTTTGAAAAAAAGCGGCACTACTCATGGGACAACCTAATGCATTCTATCTATAATAACACGAAAGGATTTCTTAGACAGTGAGATGCTGACTAGAGTTCTATATGCTGACGATTGTAATGTCATATGCTCGCCTTGACAAGAGCAGTGTTTATGGAAAAGTTGGAAGAGGGAATCGCAACAGCAGGCAATGGGACTTGGCTTGCAGGCATTCCCACAAGGTAAGAAAGGGTGAATAACATGACAAACACGTAGGCCGATGTCAGACTTGGCGAATCGAGCGGTTCGCTAGCTTCCGCGGTCGCGTCACGGCCAGCGGATCGCTCGATTGGCTGGTACCGCGACCGCAGCTACAATTTCGAGTAGCAATTCCAGGACGAATTTGCGGGGTAAATACCGTTGATAATGTAGTTATAGGCGACAATTTGACCGATAGTGACGAAAAAACCAAAGAAAAACGCCGAACAGGGCTTTAAACAGGGACTCCCCTTCTGCCGCTTAGCGATGTGGGAAGACGCGCGTTGGACGAGTTGTCTGAACTTGCCCCACTAATGCGCTCCAGTTGCATAACACTAACATAATTACATAACACTATACATAACATAACAACATCACAACAACAAAAAAAGAAAATAATTTCGGTGCAGAGTTCAAATACTCCCTGTGGTCCCAAAACGAGCGCGAATGCCTCCGTAGCCAATCACGGCTGGCAAGTGGGCGGTCCCGAAGAAATCTCCAACCACACCCATTTGAGGAGTTTAACGCCCTTTTTAGGCTTTTCCCAGGTGAGTTTTCTTTATAACTACACTTTAGATGTTCTCCAATAGGGCCTGTGCATCCTTTAGTGCCATTAGTTTTGAAAGAAGCAGACCCTGCTGGGACTGTTGCTTTAAGGTAGGGTGCATGCGGTCTGGATTTAGAAAGGTGCGATTAAGTCCATTTGAATGTGGGATACAAAATGTCATTTTTATTGGATCCTCTGTATGGCTCTCCCTCCTCATGAACCAAACAACGGGAGGGTTTTCTGAAGAATTGAACAGTTGCAACAGGTTAAACATTTTTTAGAAAGAAAACGACTTGATCTTGAATTTTTGTATCCCATCCCATTAGAACGCCAATGAAAAAGCTATAACCTCTAAATGGAGAGGTCCGCCATTACCGCAAGGCTTGGTTGTTCACTTCATAAAAAGGAAGTTTTGGAAGTTTGAAGAAAAATTGGATAGTTTTCTGGAGGTAGTTTCTCTGAAAGTACTAGCATAACTCGGAACATGCAAAAGGTTGGAAATTACCGGTATATGAGTAAATTTCATGCCGCCTCGAGTCCCGTCCTCTGAGCGAGACAAGTGCGCGCTTCTCGCTGCCCATACCCTCCCTCATGTCGATGACAGCCCCATGAATATACCAATACCAATCCCAAGGGGGGGGGGTCCCACAGATACTCTTTGAAGAAGGGTGGGGGGGGGGCAGGGCTCATCCGTCACGTTCGCACTTTTTCGGAATTTTGCGACCTCCCCCTCCGTTCCTCTGAGTGGGAGGCACGGGGTTGTATGACATCTAATCCTTTTGGTGTGGAGGGAACCTGGTAGTAAGTAAGAATGCGTGAGCCAGGGGGAATGGGGCCAATTCAGGGGGGTGGGGGTGTGTGAGCCACTTAACCTGTGGCAAAAGTTTGGGCCTTAGTGTCTGGTGTCTGGCCTTGTGAGGGAGACGCAGAGGAGCAAAAGGATTAGATGTCACAAGACCGTCCACGGGCGTGCGGCGTTAGCCTTGGAGCGCGGCAGGTATCACCCGGGCGCTGGAAGAACGGGAAGAAAAAATTTTAGAGGGGAATAACTTTCTTGGGACGTACTTTTTTGACTTGTTGAGGTAGATTTTGACTGTGCCTGAGGTGCGCTTTCAGAAAACTACAAGGATTGCCTAACTCTCCGGAAAGTACTTCTGTTAGAAGTGGAAAACCCAAAATTCTAAGAAGGCGCACCTTCAACTTTGAAGGCCCATAAAATCTTTCGTATGCGACATTTTGGAAAGCTGTAAAAAGTTTCAGAAACTTCAAATATTTCTCTACAAAACAGTATAAAAAGTTTAGTGATTGTCCCCTTTTTCAAAAAATTGTCCCGTTCGAACATTTTTCGTGCAAAAGCGAGTTTTTGGGCTTTCAGCGGCCATAACTCACTTCATTTTCATTTCTGTGATGCACTTTTTTCATGGGGTGAAAGTACAGGATTTGCTCTTTCTAACAAGCCCAAACCGTTTTTCAAAGTTCATTTTCCGAGAAAATCACACGTTCGAACATTTTGTTCCCATAGGTTTTTGAGCAGCACATGCGAGTTTTTGAGCTTTCAGCAATAATAACTTCCTTCAAAGAAGCTTGTTGGGGAGGGGCGAAGACATTTTTGAAGACTACGAGATTTCTGCTTTCTTATGTGTTTTACCGTTGTCTGGAAGAATCGTCCTCAGAAAATTAGGTCCCGAAGAACTTTAATTTCAGCCCCGAGAAGTCAAACCTTTCATAGGGATGCATTCAACTGTTCTTTATTCCTCAAGAAAACACCGTAATTTGCCTAAAACTGTCTCTCTGTGCATAATAAATCGAATCTAATGCGGTCTGCACAAGCAAGTCTTGCCCTCGGATACGCCACGCACGCGCCTGTGGCTGGCATTTGGAAGTCTATTTCATCTTGCTATGACCCGGACTTGCTCAGTTTTTGGCACTGCTACCACGCTCTGATGCGACGAAGCGAGCTCTCCCTAAAAGCTTTGCTGAAGACAGAAAGATTTTTTTACGATGTATAGTAATTCACGCGGAGAAACACTTCAGGACGAAACGGCGAGCCTGGAAAGAATAATTATTTTGAGTTTATGACAACTTCATGTTCTTTGTGAGCGTTCCCCAGTCCTTCATCCACCGATCAACTACCGTCGCGATTTTGCGGTCCTTGAAATTGCGACCCATCCCTTCGCTGCCCCATGACTAAAATGAGACCCTCCTCGCTCTGAGATACTTGCGAAACGGACGGTTGACCCTGGTGGGGGGCGGTGAAGAGCGTAAAATTTTGAAAGCTGCGCAACGCACGGTTGACCTTGGATAGAAGTGGCGCAGGAACCAACAGTGGCATAAAGCAGCCCTGCATTACCCCGGAGATGGAACCCCACCCAAGCAATCTAACCATTCGCATGTATTTTAGGCCGTGTAGTTGACCTGGAAATTAGTCAAAAGTCAGTAATTCGACTGAACGCCCAAGTTAGTATTGGGACCGATTTAGAGTTGCTATGTAGGCGTCGGAAGCCTCTACCGTTCTAATTTATGTGCAAATATGGGAGCTAAGTGAGTTGGAGGGGGACCACGCGCGGCGAGGGGTCTATCAAACGCAATGGCAGTGGGCCTGGCCTAGAAGGAGGCTAAAATGTGTCAAAAGTCATCACATATCATATGTTCACGGCTTATCCACTCCTTCACAAGCTAGGCTTAGTCCCATCGCGCTTGAAAACGGCGCCGCCGCGTGTCCCCCCCCCCAACTCACTTGAGTCACCAGGGTGAAAATCGTGTCGAGGAAATAACCGCCTCTTTACGACCCCCCTCCAAAACATGGACTCTGATACGACCCCTTTTGTCCTCTGCACATCCGGTTTCATATCAAAAAATGCTAGTTTCAGATGTGCGAGAGGGACGCAGCGCCGCTGCCACGCAAATGCGGCTTGATCCAAATGCTAGATTCAATTCTGCTCAGATTAGGTTCTCCTTCTTTCCTTTAAAGACATTTAACCTTTGCCACATTGGCCGAAAAGTAGAACATTGAAGGAGGTACTGCCCCTACACAGTTGAACAGTCTCGCGCTCCAGTATAGCGGCGCTAACTACCCGCGATCGCGTCGCGCGCTGTGCCTAGAGCGCGCTAGTTGGAAAAATCGTCAAATGTACCCCCTATTTAAAGGACTATAACTTTCTTCATTGATAACCATTTCAAAAAGTGAAGGCAGCTTTTGAATGCACAAGACTTCTAGTTTCTAAATTGTGCTGAGCGTTTTTCTAAGCACACCTATTCTCGAGAGTGGGAGACGTCGAGAAATTGTCGAGGAAATTGAAATTTACATGCGAGTTCCCACTCTTAGGAAGACAGTAGCTGTCTTCATTGGCAATGCTTTGAAAATCCGAGGAAAGCGTTGTAAAGTAGAAGATTCACGCTTTCTAACAGGTGCTCCATTTGTTTCGAAAACGCTTTCTAGTTCGCGAGAAATCTGCGTCGAGGAAATGTCAAGGAAATTTTCGAAGCCACTCGAAAACTCTATTACTCCCTCGCCGTAGTAGGGGACTTCTTTGAACACCTTCAAAATACTTCTGTACACGTCAGTTCGATGGAGTAAATTGAAAATGATGCACTTGGCGCGGATCCATTCCGTTCTTGTATGCGCCATGCAGTGACCCCACTCGGAGTCATTGGGAAGGTGTTTTGTCCTAGTGACGACTTGCTTAAGAAGATATTTCCAGTAATTAATTAGGATAACTCTTGTGGTCATGATGTCTGATCATTCCTTTATTCAAATCGCTTCCTTTCCAACCCGTTCTGATGAATGACACGCTTGCGGTTGCAGGATCTGATGATGCCAAGAAGGCTGCGAATCTGCCTGTTTTGAACTTTCTAACAAGATGCTGTTCCTCCATTAAGTTTTCGAAGCATTAACGTCATTCTAGAGAGATAATCGCTGCCCTTTCCCTACGATTCTTTTGCAGGACGCGTTGCCTTCCTATGCCACACTGATCACTACGAACCAAACCAACACCACTTTCCATTTGAATTTTAATTCCAGACAGTTGTAAGATATTATTTGCATTAGGCTAACTACAACACTTGTGAAACTAATGATGACAGCAAATAAGTGGCAGCAGCACCGTTTGTGTCCGTTGATGAACCTTTTGATTACGACCCCCTCCCAACTCTCATCGGAGCAAATACGACCCCCTGTCGAGGATTTCCTCGACCGTTATTCACCCTGGCTTAGCACCCAAATATGCACGTAGAGTATTCAGGAGTTGCCCGTCAATTTGCGCCCTTTCAAGCCTTCCCGCACCAATTCCTTCATACATCTGCGGTCATCTGCGCCGTCGTTACATTTTCGCGCTCCATCTGACTCATGCCACTTTAAAGGTTTTGCATACTGCGGTTTACTGCGGTCCTATAACGAACAGGTTTTACGGGCGGCCGTTCTGCGGCACAGTGGTTCGTTCCGATCAATCGATGCACTGCCATATTCGAGGTGAGATTAGTAATTGGTTATTGGGAATGGATGATCTAGACTCCGTTCTTGGTAGTTATACCCCATTGAATTGATTTGATACAGCTGCAATTAATCTAGAAAGCCCAACCAACTCAGGAGGTTAACAACGGCGTCCAGTTTGGCCGTCATTCCATGTTATCGAGTGGTAAGATGGATCTCGGCAGGCCAGATCGATCCCATTGTGATGACTATATGTTCGGTAGGTCCTAAATTTGGATTTGGGCAGTTTTTTCCACTCCCAATATGATTGTTAAGTCTCGCTAATTTTTTTTAAATGGGGAGGGTTTTTAACGTGATATTTAATTCGTCTAATAAATACTGGGGCTAACAACTTTTGTGAATACCTGAAAAGTCTTTAGGCCTCAAGCTTCTTCTTCGATTTTTTCAAATGTTTCGCAAAAGCTTCCATTTTGACATCCGCTGCATTGTGATTGTGTTCCGTGATTTTCCTTCCACTACTAAGAATTTCTCCGTTTGTGGCGCGCTTTGAAGATGATCGGAAGACAAAAAAGTACTGTTTCTTACAAACCAGTGGTGATAAAAGCCTTTGGAACAATGTCTGTTGTATAAAAATCGTATTATTCGCTTCCTTTGGTATACTTTTGTCTCGAGTTAAATTTCGAGACAAAACCCACTGATGCCCACTGATGGAGATCGGATTTTCATGCAAACCATGCACAAGCTCTAAATGTTCAAAGGCTGGGTTAATTTAGTTTAACTGTTTTTCAAAGACTCAAAGACCTTTTCAAAGACTCATTTTCAAAGATGTTCGAGTAAATTCCAAACTCTATCGTGCGTTAGTTGCGTACTTGGTGAAGAAAAGAAGAATTTTCGCCTCGACAGTTTTTGACACTGTTGTGGTAAAAACGTGAGAATCTGGCGTTTGTTATTTGTTTATTCAGCTGTATATGCTTTCATCCTTTCCCCTCGCAGGACAGCAAACTTCCATCCTTTCAAAGTTGTTATTTGTACTAGGTTTATCTGAGAACGTAACGTTGGACTGACCTCTATATCAACCTACTCCCATCAGTCGCATCAAATTGTATTAATTGTAAATTATAAAAAACATATGGTCAATACCATACGATTCCTTTTTTATTTGTTTGTTTTCAAAACCAGCATACTTTACTGGAGCAATTCTAAGACAAATAGTTTGTAGAATTCTTGTCAAAGCCTACTAATGGTTAAGGTGCCATACCGGATGATGAGGAAAATTCGGACGACGGAGCCGCAGATGAGATTGATGCTATCAATGACGAGACTTTTGGAGATGATGTGCATGTGCCCCTCGACAGCGAGTTAGAAGACTACGCAGCTCAGGTTCGTTAGCTTTAACTGTATCACTTCCTGTCATCTAGTATTCTTCGCATTTCAGACGGCCTGTCTTCGACTTGACGATGCAGGACCCTGGGACACTCCTGGTTGTTCTAAAGAGCCAGCACCAGATGCATCCAATGTTCCTCTACCGGACTTTGACGTTTTTGGAACATCCTCTTTTTCTAGCTTCGGTAGTGAAACAATGGTGAGTTCAATATTTGACCACTATCGATTTTTGTTTCTTGAAAAACTGTGAAATTTTCATATAAAGTTCTCAAGATGTGCAGTAATTTTCGTTTTCCAACGATTATCGATGCTTTTTTGACTGCATATTGACGTACCGCCATTATGCAGGCAGACCGACGTTCACTTTTGAGTTTTCATGGCCGCATATGTCTATCTGCCATTAGCCTCTTGCTCTTTTCATACAATCTGCTTTTCTAGGCTATTGTGTGCTTCAAGATATATGTTTAGGCAAAGTTGGATTCACTGTGGAGTCAGCAATCGCATAATTTGTATGATCTATGGGAAGAGCAGAAGAACAATTCTCGTAGCATAAACTCGAATCAATCGGCATTTGCATATCTATTTTTCCTTCTTTCCCCGTTTTCACCGGATGTTTTTATACGACTTTTGATTGTTATAGAAGCGAGGTTCCTGCAGTAGAACAGCAGAAACCTCCGAGCGGGTTTCCATTGATAGGAGGGATATCTCAAGCGTTCGACAATGCCGCGCGATCAAACGCTTATATACAACACCGTTCACCAGTCTTACCTGCAATGCCTCGTGGTTCTACGGTAAGACTTTCTCATTTTTTCTGTGTTGCAAGCATCATCAGTTTTGTAGATGCTTCGAGTGGTTATCTGTGCAGAATTCTCGACTTATTGCCATAAATTTCTGTGCGAAATAATTGATTTAGTTGGAAGACCTCGAACGAGGGCATCTGCAACGACCGCCGAACGTAAGCAAGGTTTCGAACATGAACGCCATGCCGCCTGTTGCCGTGAATGTAGCTGACCTTGAGCGTCGATTCATTGAGGAATCTTCAGGAATGCCACCACCAGCAAATCAAATGATTCCATCTTGTAGTCCTTCCCCGTTTCCACCTCCATTGCCATCACCACACACCCAACTTCCTCCTAGAATGGTATGAAGAAGTTTAAATAGTTGCTCGACTGTTCGTAAAGGTCTGTGATTTCAGGCACCCAATGCGCCTCCTAGTTTCGGAGGAGTTCCACCAATGCATATACCACCCCTTTTGCCCCCGTTCCATCCTATGATGCTTCCATTCGTACCATTCTGGCTTGAGCATCTCGCTGGTCGTGCGCCATGTCTTCCACCAGGATGCCCACCAGTTCCTCCTCTTTTACGAATGTTCTTCGATACTGTGAAGGTAATCAGTGATCACAATTTCTTTAGTTATATAAAACACGCTGACTGAATGTCTTTTTCCCTTCAAAGGATCCAATGGTCGTCATGGATATGATAAGAGCTTCAAACGCAGGAATGGTGCCTCCTCCATTTCCAGCGCCGCCACAAACCTTTGACAGACGCTCTCAGGTTAGAGTTCATCATGTTTTGAGGTGTACATTCTCGTTGTTGTTGGAAGTGTCGTTTTGTTCCGCAGATTAATGAGGCGTTATTGCTGCATTTATAAAAATAGCTTGTGATGCATTTCAGTGGCAACGAAAAGCACCTGGAATGCCGTCTGGGCGCACAATAGAAGACCTTGCATTTGACCAGTTCGCAGGCTACATGTCTTGTAAAGAAAGAGAATGGCTCGTAAAAATTCAAATTCTGCAATGTCAAGGAACTGGCAACCCGTACGATGATGACTACTACTATACAGTACGTTTCTACCAGTGCCATCATTAACTTTTCGTAATCAAAGTGATTATTCAGAGCTGGCGAGAGAAACAGATTGCGAAAGGATGGCGACCGAGTAGAGTAGTCACTCCTCAGATGGCGTCTTCAGATAAAGTCAAGGTAATACTTTGTGGAGATATTCTTGTAATTTTTAAAAATCAATTGTGCTTAGGAAAGTGAGCGAAGGTTAAGACGTCTGAATGGCTCGCGAAGTCATATCGATGTGTCGAGAGAACCAAAAGAAATAGTGCCACTAAACGTCAAATTCGCTGGCTCCCTTGGCTTACCATCCAAATCTTCAACCAGTAATCCAAGACATGTAAGGCACATTTCTGGGCGGTGCTGTTGTTGCCCAGTTTTCCTCAATTTTCATTTGGTCTCTCGATTTCTGTATATTTCAGTTGATCAGCGTTGAACATAGTTTGGACAATGCTGATGAAGATGCATCACAACGGGCAGGTAGACAGAGGAAGTTACGAACGCTGCTTCTTCGTCTTGAGTCTGCGTTGGCTTTACTTATTGAATGCCAGGACTTACGTGTTCGAATGCGAAACTGTACCCAAAGCAGGTTGGTGTGATAATCATTACTGTTTTAATTTCCGTTCTTTCCCATCTTTTTTATTTTTGAAACAGCGTGCATGGTAAGAAGTTTTTTCTCAAACTAGAGCTAGGAGGGTTCGGCTTCTTAGCAAAATAGAGCGACTTCGAACATGGAAAAATTGTCATCTCAAAAATGTTTGGCGTTGGCTGTCTCTTCTTCATAGTCGTTGCGCGCTCTATTTCTATCGAGCATTGTAGTGGTATTCGGGTGTGATTTGGTTATGCAGTGATTTTGTGGCCTTCTGGTTGACACTTCACTGTTTCATCCAGGTTCCAACAGGAGGCCGTCGCTTGGCAAGAAGGCAGAGTCGGCGGACGAGTTGCAGCGCGTGGTGTGCGATGTTGGACGTGCAGTGGGACACTCTGTTTAACTTGACGCGAAAAACTACCGTACGCGATGCGACTCGTCCGCTGACTTCTGCCTTCTTGCCGCGCGACGGGCCTCCCTGGCGGATACCCGTTTTAACCTATTCTTCTGCCAGTTGACTAATCTTGGATAGATAGAAGATTTGACTAGCTTGGCCGAGATTTGATCTGGAATTTTTTCTGACCAAATGCTTGCGAGTATCCTCACTTTCCCCTCCGTTTAAGCTAAAGAAAAACACCCATGTTATCTACCATATTGAAGAGTAAGCGCTTTCAGTAACTGCTAGGCTTGAAGGTGGGAATGATGCATAGTGTCAGTATCCGTAAACAGTTGCGATGCGCCGCACCTAGTCACTCAGTTCTGCTGCTTTCGTCAGAGAACGGTTTTTGAAGACATGTTTTTACATGTTTTAAATGAATTGAATTTGGCCTTAATTTCAGTGAATCGGCCCTGTCAGAGATTTCGCATCGTATCGATGTCATATTCCAAGATCTTATGACGGAGGATCTTGTCAAGATTTTACAGGTATTTGCTCAAGAATTCACCATTTTTCTCCGATAGTATGAATGGGCAGAAGTGAACGCGTTTGAATTTTGCTCCATACGACCTTTACCATATTACTGCTGTTAAAGTCGGGTCCATCATGTTTTCATAGTAATTAAAATTTTGTCCTTATCATGTGGGTTTACAGGTGGCTTATCATAGGTACTTTCCGAATAACATTTTGGCTCTGTCGTATACGTCGATTCAGTTTTCGCTTGAAAGAGTATTTCCAACTAGATGGGGGGGAAGGTCTTTCGACCTGACCATTTTTTTAGTTCAAGAACGCTGTTTTTTCAGATAGGAAAAGGGCGTTCCGTGGTAGCACGAGCGCTTACTGTTGGAACCCCCAGGGATGTTGCTCGCATCGTTTTGTCGTTATTTTCCGTTATGAGTTTGTGCTCCAAGAGGTGCATAGAAGACGTAAGTTTCTGTTTCAAAACTTTTTGAACTTTTCTCTTTCTGTTCTTTTTAATAGTGCATTTCATATAATCAATGACAGCGGATTAGACCTTCTTTCCGAAATTATTTTGGGCAGATGTTTACATTACTTGTTATAAAAAAAAAAATGTTTTGTGATGTGATTTTCTTTTTTTTTTTTTTTTTTTTTTTTTTGAGCTCAAATGCAGTCATTTAGCGGTACAGCATAACACGTAAATCCGTTCAGATTAACTGCGACGTAGTTCCACACATGTTCACTGGACTAATGGAGCTGAGCAGGGAACAACTAATGGCTTTGTCATCCGCAGTGAACGTTGACTCCCTCAAGGAGATATTTCGAACAAAAACGCTGTGAGTACTGCTTTCCAACATCGACTGAGAAACTCCTCCAGGAGAATTTTTGATATAGAAAAGATTTTAGTTTTGTCGAGATGCTTTCATCACTCTCTTGTATGCGTGTGCTAAACGAAAGGCTATTTCACAAAGTATCGTTCGGTGGTTAGCTGGTCCACCCGATGAACTTGATTTCACTAATGGCTGGTATGTGCTTTCCACTTCCATTAAAATTTGTAAAAATGCTTTGCCAGGCAAATTGTCAACATTGACATCTTTTGTTTGTTATGAAGTGACAGCTTTTTTGGATGTTACGGTATACAGAAATAAGCAACCAGCTAGAGGAGGGCATTTTGCGATCAATTCTATTTTCACTGCAAATGTTTTTTTTTTCAAGGTCCTCTTCATTGTCCTTATGGCGGGAGCAGATACCGGGCTTGCAGGACTCGGATGTGCAAATGTTTGCTGAATGGTTGCTTCTTCTTTGTGACAATACCCACTATAATTCACTTGCCAAAGTACTTGCTAAAGCATTGCTTTCGTGTAGATAAGCTTTTCATATTGTAACATTATGACTTAAGTGGTTCTTTGCGTGATACAATATGCTGGAGTTAGCCCGTCAGGGTGGTTCGTGTCTTTCCTGTCGAGCCGACTGTGTTGTTCTCAAGTAGTGGGTGCTCAATGTTCAGATTTTCCACGTTCTAATTACGCCCAAGTTCGTAGTCCTCACTAATGTTCAGTGATAGTATTGTAGTTTGTATGTATGCGGAGTATTTATCGATTCAGTTTGTTGCTTGGTCTTCGACATTGCTGAGATTTGCCTTTGAAAGGCGCACTCACATTTTATATCTTTTAGAAGCCGGTTTTATGTAGCGTTTTACTGTTGCGAAGTATTTTGAAGGCATCACTGCGTTGATAGCTGCTCTTTTAGTAACCGTGTATTTGCGTTCATGTGACTTGGAGTCGTATTAACCAATTTTCTCGAAGTGTTATAAAAGCCAATTAGCTTGCAACTTTGTGTCGCGTGATAAGGGTACCATCTCCTAAAATTCCTTCTCTCTATCTGGTAACTTTAGGATATTCTAATTGTCTTTGGTTTCCGAAAGCGCGGACATGGAGGCTGTTCGTGGGTTCTGGAATCAGGTCGTCACTACCAAGCGGGCATACATGAACCCTCATGAGCATTTTGGACGAGCGAATATATTCCGTGCTGCTATGGCCAGTTATGTAGGAATCTATTTCCTTTTCAAATGGAACCAGAAGAGAAAGGTATGGGTTCAGTTTTTAGTGTTCATAATATTTCTTAGCGTTCAAAGTTCCTAATGTTTAGGCTAGAAACCTTCAAGAATTACAAGCAGCGGAACGTGAGAACGTACTTAACGATGCTTTGGCTCGCACAGGGCACTAGGAGTTGAGATGATACTAGTGAAATTGTCAGGAACTATAGAAGATAACAATAAAACTCGAATCATTTTTATACACATACACATACATGCCTTAAACAAGGATTCTTGTTGCATACAATCGGTCTGGAGATACATTCTGTTGTAAATCTTGCACGCACGCCCATTTATAGGCTCTATTTACTGTAGGGTTTCGTGAACCGACTCTGTGCGATTGACACCGTGCTTGGATGTTGTGTGTTGTTGTTTAGCTCAATAATCAGTCACAAGTGATGTGATGTACTCCCTAGCTAGGATGTCAATTACTCTGAGCTACAGTAAGTTCACGCCTTCTTCAGCGTGATACGAAGTGTGACGAGAAGCTTATCCTCCATCCGTCCAACTGATGTCGGCAGAAATTTCTGGATAGGAGCCTTCGAAATGAGTAAGAGATCCCGTACGATCGAGGTGTACACCGAAAATCCTGACTTCAATTCAAAGATCGATCAGATTGAAATGGCACATTGCTCTAAAGGGTGAATAGACTGAAATGGATTTTCCCTAATCCGTGCCGTGTCTACAATGCATGTTGTAATCGTGAAGCGGGCTTCACCTACCCACAATGCGCTTGAGATATGAACACATAGCAAAATGATCACTTGAAAGAAAGACAGGCACTGAATTAGCGAGAGTAGAATGGTGGAATCCGTTATAAAACAGTATCGAACACAGGTACAAATAAGCGGAAGGGTAATGCTCTCCCTACTGAAGGCTAATCAGGAAATACGGAGGCAAAGTGAAAGTTTCAGGACGCGGACATATTTTCCTTGGTTCTATCGCAAACATGAAGCAAATCCAATACACCTGTTCTTTCCTGGTACAAAACACGAAGAATACAAATCTGTGGGGAACTAATGATTCCACTCTTCACTGGTAATGAGCCTCCTAACGGAAGGTCACGTTCAATTCATAAAGGTCGTGCTCACCTGAGGTTGCTGAAAGTCAGAACTGTAGCCGATTATCACACAAATCCGTAGAGATCCAGTAGCCTTTTCTCGTTACCTCGGTAGGTTCTAAGCATGCTGTACGTGATGTGAAGTTAATACCTTCAACGTTTTCAATACAGGGGAAAATTGGTATGAAGGTGGAACGAGTCAAACTTCCATATCGGTGCAAGCTCCCACTTTGTCAATGAAATCCATTTAGCTTGTGCAAAGCATGGCGCAACATGGCTCAGGCAGCCAGTAGCGCATTGAGGTCACGGGAAGCTCATTATCGGAGCCCATCCCGTGGTGCTACGGTATACCGTCCTGTGACTCCCAGTTCGACTAGTCATTCTCTGGGCAACTTTGATTCGCTGGGCGCAAAGCGCTCGAATCCAGCGATTATACGAAGTTAAGGCGCTCGATTCGCAAACATAGGACATTAGCCTATCTTATAATTAAGAAAGAAAAACCATTATAAACAAAATAATAGATACGGTTCGTTTCGCTCCTTCCTCAGACGAACCTTATTATTTCGACTAAGACGACTTCCGCCAAGAACGATCGGAGGTATACGCCGAGATGCTCGCCTCTTTGAAAAAACTTCCCGCGCGCGCTCGTTTAAACAGATGTCGCACTGGGGCGAGCTTTCTCCCAGCTATACTGGTGTTAGAGTCACTACGGAAATCCTGAAGGGAATGCGACTGGTAGAGGTAGATGTGGTTCACAATGAAGGATTAACTTCCCCAAAAGGATATTTCTTAAGAGTCAGCGTTTGTCTTCTTCGTTAGGTAATGCTCTTCTGTAACTACAAAACGGGGGAGGACGGGGGAGAGTGCAGTCTGTAGAAGGTTTCTGGAACTGAGCTACGGAGGGAGACGATTTTGGAGAGAAAGGTTGCTCACGCACTTCGGAGCCACTCTTCTCCTTTGAGGCTCAGTCCTAAAACTGAGCGTTTCCATAACCCTAATGCAGTGTGTCGCATGCTGCCGTTCTCGCCCACCAAGCCCCACTGAGGATGAGTACTACATCTCTTATATTCTAGGCAAACTGGTGATATTGCTCTGCCTTTAGGGGGGCTGTGACTGAGCTCCTACTAATAAGTCACTGTATTCAAAACGATTTGCGCACTCAACATATTGCCGTCTCCTGAGAGCACATTGCTGAAACCCATGAATATCGGCAGATCTTCGTTCGGTGAAAATTTAAGGCAACCTTCTGATTTTCACCTGTAGACACTAATTAGTAGTCAAGTAGCTCTGGCAGTCAAGTAGCGTCCACTTATTTCCCGTAATGCAGTTTACGTCAAAAAATTATGTTGGGAAGTTCATCACAACTGTTCCTATGATTCCTCGCTTTTTCGTTTCAGGTATGTATTATTACTTTTGCTGAGGTCACTGACTGGTGAACAGTTTTTGAAAACACCGCTGTAGATATTTGAAAGGGTGATGGGCTTTGCTCTCACGACTTACTGGATGGAAGCACAAATCCAAGCAGTTGCAGTGAAAAAATCCCCGATAAATCGCTCTGAGTTGCCTCCCGTGTGGACTTAACGAAGATTAGCGTCAACATACTGACATTTTATCATTTTCTTCAAAAAATGTCTTGCAAAATACCAATTCAGTGCTACAAGAGATAGGAAATGCTTCCAATTCATTACCTTGCTATCCAAAGACGCTTCCTACCAGTACTCTCGTGCGAACGACCGCATCCCCTAGTTATCATTCCTGCTCTCCTGCTAGAATATCTATACTCTTGCCTGCGGTGGTACCAGTGCGGAGAGCAAACTCAAAATATGGGAAAAGGCACGAAATTGCAGTGTCTCCAATCACTCTAGCTAGTTGAATGCTCGCTCCAGTGCTACGTATATTTGAACGTGCGCGCGCGGGAAATTTTTTCAAAGAGGCGAGCATCTCGGTGTATACCTCCGATCGCTCCGCAAATCGCCGAATCTCACGTATGTGTGTTGTGTGCATCGGTCATGAATGCGATTAAAAGACGTCTCTTTGCAGCATTAGCTTACGGTATTGTCTCTTGTCTGCAATTTCGCGTACCATTTTGTAATTGTAACGCGCTGTTGCACACTTTTGATACCTATTCGTCCGATCTACGGTCTAGTTAAGTTAGTAGCGCATTTAAGCTTTGATTTCCTTCTTTTGGGTCTAGTTCGAATTGTGATCATCTTCTTGTCAGAGTGGTTGTTTGGTCCCACCTTTTTTTTAACTCTGAACCGTTCAATCGACTTGATTTCTCGGTGGGTCAAGATTCCAGACATATCTTTGGTAACACGTGTATATTGCGCCTGTCAGTGAGCGGACCAAGTTCATACCGCAGTTTCCAGGGAAATATCAGTGTAGCCTTTTTTTTTACTTACATGATGCCCTTTGCTCCACAGCATATTTGCTAACGGGCTCAATCGCCCTCCAATTGACAAGTGTTTGTGTGATTTTTTTGGCCTTTCTGGCGGCGTATACGTAATAGGCCGGCTTTAAAGACGACGCTATTGAGCATACTTTAAAATTTCTTTCCTTGTCGTGGATCGATGACGACTTGATAGGGACTATTTAGATCTATTTTATCAATTGTTTTTATGACAGGTAACCGTCGAGTTTTGGCTCTGGCGACGTATCAGCAATAATGGTCGAAATAGACGTTAATAAAGAAAATGAAGAGGAGCCTGACTTCTCCGATCCAGAAGACTTCGTTGACGACATCACTGATGAAGGTATGGTGCGATCTTGTCGGTTTTTTGTTTTTCATGTTGACCCAGTTTTAGCCACCTTTCTAATGGGAGGATTTTGTGGTAAAGAGGCGTAGATGCAACAGGGATACTTAAGTGTCTAGCTCATGAAGATGTAAATTTTCAAAAATCATTTCTAGAGCTTGTCATGGATGTACTTCGACAAAAACCTTCCATGGAAGAATACGAAGAGTGTTGTTTGATCATTTTTGGTCTTCCTATTGTGGGACCAGACAGAGTTGCCAAGTTGCGCACTGTCCTTAGCAAGGTCTTCACCAATGTTGAGCCGGATCACAAAGCTTATTTCCCACCTTCGGAGGATGGAGGAAGCAAGGCAAGTGTGTTGAAAGTGTGATATTAGCTTTTTATAAAAGCAATGTTTAGGGCTGCGTATTTATTGAATTTCCCGACAAAGTGAAAGCTGAGTACGCTAAAGGTGTTCTTAATGGATACAAGCTGGACAAAAATCACGTCTTCTCCGCTTTGCTTTTCAATGAAGCTCGGAATTTCCAACAACCTCCACAAAATTGGCAACCACCCAAACCAACTCCTTATAATGATGTGGTAATCTGTTTGAATGTTTTTGTTACTAGCCGTTTCTCTCCATTCTACGGTAATGTTTCTATAGGGCGATCTCTGGTGGTGGATGCAACATCCTCGATGTCGCGATCAGTTCGCAGTACAGTACGAAAAGGATGGTGTTCCAACTGTTGCTTGCTACTGGCATATAAAAGGGCACGATCCCGAAATTGCCCGGTGACCAAGGAAAAGCGAAAGACCGGTTAGTCTTTGGATTTCCTTCAGAGTTCTTGTTTATTACTCTTCAACTTTTAGTCTTGGACTGATACTGTCTTCAAATGGTCACCCCATGGTTCATATTTGACCACTATTCACAAACGTGGAGTGGCATTATGGGGAGGACCTGAATTTGCACGAGTTCAACGTTTTGCTCATGATAACGTGCAATTTATCGATTTTTCGCCTTGTGAGACGTAAGTTGTGAAAACATTCAACGTCGTTAAACTGTAGAATGATACGTACTATTTCCTCCAGATATTTGGTGACGTATGCTGAAGCCGGTGAGAAAAATCATTGGGGCGACGATGAGGACTGCTTACGTATCTGGGACGTTGTGACTGGTGAAATGTTGAAGGGATACTCTCTCTATGCGCTCACGAATCGCGATCAATTGCCCTGTTGGCCTTTTTTCCAGTGCGTTGTATAGATTTCCTTTTTTATATCTCGAATCGATACGCATATGCATGACTCAAAGCTTTATTTAAAATGTAGTTGTAGAAATGTCATTTTCTCGGAAAATTATTTACAGATGGTCTTTCGACGAGAAATACTTTGCATGTCTGAAGGCACCAGAAAAGGACAAACTCGAGAAGGAAAAGAAGGTAGCGGATTGCAATTCACTGATTGCTGACATTTTTCGTATATAATCACCGCTTCAGGTCAATGGTATTTCTGTCTTTGAAACAGAAAAATTCGCACTAGTTGATCATCGCAACATTATTGTGGAAAATATCAAAACATTTTCATGGAGCCCGACCCAGAACATCATCTCATATTACGCTGAAGTAGGTTCTTGCAAAGTTTTTTCTAATGAAATCTTCGGGTCTTGTTCAAAGTAGCTTTTGTTTTCAGTGTACAGACTCTCTTCCTGCTGAATTTGATTGGGTGGCAGATGCTAACGGTCGCGCGAGCGCAACAGAGATTGAGATCAGGCCGTATTCACAACGTTGCTGACGCTCAAATGTTTTGGCAAAAAAGTGGCCAACGCCTTGCTGTTTACACTATGAGGTCGGTCTGTTAATTTAGGTTTACGTAAAGTTTAACAGCCATTCAGTGACTTGTCTCATTTTTATCATTAACACCTCCGTTTTTCGTTCTATGCTTTATACTGCAGTAAGATTTTTTAATTTTGCAAATTCGCTGCAATTGGAATAGTTTTTTTTCTCGCTATTTTTTGCTAGTGGTTCCCTTCGTCACTGCTGTCCTGAAAATCGTTTGTATGTTTCCCAAAATTTACCAGAAACGCTGAATTTGGTAATTTCTGGGTCCTTTGTACCTTACTAGCGTTCATTTTCATTGCTGAAACGCCGCACAAATGTCTTTATATTGTCGTTATAGGTACTCAAAGAAACAAATGAAGGAAGGAGGTGAAGTGAAGTATGTAGGTGGATGCACTTACCACTTGGAAATCTTCGAGATTGATAAGAAAGATGTATCATTAATGAATCTCCCTCTTCCTGAACCGTTCATCAACTTTGGCTGGCAACCCTATGGTACGTGAAGACGTCCGCTTTTTGAAATGCACTTATGCAGCAAAGAAATTCTGTGTTATTTAGGTGAAAAGTTCTGTGTTCTTACTGGTAATCAAGCTAAAGTAACACCGTTAGTTTATCGCCTTGAACCTAACAGTCATGCGCCTAAGCTGATGAGCAAATTGGATCCTGGAGTCCAATTCAACGAGGTGCCTTTTTTTATTATTTTTTTCGGTATTTTTTTTTAGAAGTTTTTCACCGTTCTTACGTTTTGTGGTTCAGGTATCGTGGGCTCCACATGGTGGATGGTTGGCTATCCTGGCGAAACGGTCGAATGGTGGTAATGTAATGTTTGTTGACACAACCTTGCAAGAAGCTAAACGCACCAATGTCGTAGAGCACCCGGGATTTAACAAGGTTAGCTTCCTCTATATCCATCGATTTATTATCTTTTATTATCAGTTCTCACCTTTCGCATTTTCTTCGATAACAACAGTATGATACAGTTACCCAATTTGTAGATTAGATGTACAGTTTGGGCAACTGGGAGGTGTCATTATTTAGGGATACTGGGATCCAACTGGTCGATATTTCGTGACATGCTCAACGCTTGGAGGAAGAATAGGAGCCGATCTTGGTTTTAGGCTGTATACTTTCCAGGTACCAGCTCTATTGAAACCAAACTTCCCCCTTGCTTTTATTCATCTTCAACCCTCCTGTTGTATTTTTTTGAATATGTCGTAACATTTTTAGGGTCGCGAACTTTGTCGGAAGGCCTTGGAACGTTTGACGCAATTTAAATGGCGTCCTCGTCCACCCGTGAAATTAAGTGAGCAGAAGTTGAAGGTAAATCACATTTTATATAGACCTAATGCCCACTGATATATAGCTTTGTTGTTGGTTGTTCTTCACATTACTCTTGTCGTTCAAATGTTTTTTATTCAAGGAAATCAAGAACAACTTGAAGAAGACAGCAGTTCGCTTCGAGCGTGAAGATAACGAGGAAAAGAACAGAGCCAGCCAAGAAGTTATTGAGAGGCGAAGGTTTGTGGGGGATTTTACAGGATGTTATCTAAAATTAGTGGGGAACAACGGTGTTGACAACGCTAATGGTGATCGTTTGCAGGAAGATAATGGCTGCCTTCGAATTGATTCGCCAAAAGAATCTGAAGAAAATTGCTGCTCAGCGTGAGCTTAGGATATCTCTTCGAGGTTTGTATAGTACGACTCTTGATTTTGATCATCAACGCTTGTATCCTTTCTAATTGGTATCTATAGGTGGTGTGGATACTGACAACAAGCAAGCAGAAGAGCTCGTTGAAGAGCAAATTATGGTAGCGCTCGATACGCAAAAGACTTTAGCTCCACTGGGAGAGGACGAGCTGGACTAGTTTTTTGGCACTTCTAGATTTTTTTCCAGTCAGCGTATTGTTGTGCGCTGATTTCTGTCTGATCGGTTTCCCTGTGTGATTTCACTATGAGCAACCCACCGCCTTTAGCTTCTCGATGTTCACCGAACCTTGCCGAACTAGTCGGTCATTACGATTTTTGCATGCCATATTGGCGACGGTTTTATGCTATGTGGTTTGTTACGTGTGTTGGCCGCTTGTTTGGCCTTCTACCAGGTTTCGTTGTTGACGGTAGGAGGCACTGGAGTTTCTTGTCACTGGGCTGTTGGCTTCCCTTATGTTGTTTGCTTAAAATTGTTACTGATTTATATAAAAGTCTTCTATCCTCTTGGAAGTGAAATTCATGGCGGAAGTAGTGTTTTTGCGGGGTGTATTTAAGGTTGGGTGCTTATCAAGGAGTACATCGAAACAAAATGAAATGTTCAGCGCATTGCCGTGCGGCGTTCTTCATCAGACAATACCATATATTTATTGCACCTGTATGTGGAATGTATGCAGTAAAGCTCAAGTAATATTTGGAAGGAAAACTATTGGCACAGAGATGAATGACTGACTGAGCAATGACTCCCTGCTAGCCGGGTAGTGGCGAGCGGTATTATCAACTCGTATAACTTCTCAACGAATAGGCAAAAGCAATTGGTAAAGAAATTAAGCATAGACAACCTATTCCTTCCAAGGCTGAAGATCGAGCCTTTTCACGACGAGCAGGCCCCCCCCGACAGCTCGTTGTCCACGATCGATGGTGAATGCGTTCGGTACGATCCTTCCCATTCTGAAGAACTTCTACTAGTTTTGAAAATTCTAATAGTGTGGTTCTCATCTACTGAATACACCGCACTGCGATTTCATTGTGACGACAAGGCTATTGAAATGGGATCTTATTGGCGCCTTATTTGGTGGAGCTACATATTTGCTACTGTCAAGGAAAAATTGATGTGGTCATACTCACCCATCACTTGTTTCGCATAACACCCACGACACATGTGACTGCCTTTAATGCAGTCATTTGCGCTGTCGTGAAAACTCCTTCGTTCTCAAGTAGAATCTAAATGAAATAAAAATTGAGTGTAGAATATAAAACCTACAGTGTTGCAAAGAGCTTTCTCTTTTAGAGGTGGTAATCCATTTAGTGAGTAACATTTAAGGCGAAGCTCACGATAAGTAGGCACCCGATTAGAATTATTGTAGAGGTGCGATGATGCCGAGATGAAGAAATACCATGAGAAACAGCCCAGAACGAAGGCGACCCCATTCTTGCCCGTTTATTTACGCGAATCATCGGTGCTGCCTCTTCAAGGGTAACACTCTTTTGCTAAACGACTAGAATCTGCGGCAAATGAAGGGAGAGGGTAAGTTTTTTCCCCCCAAAAAAGCACTAAAAGTACTGTTCAGGCGTCACTTTTGACCGCCACTGTACATGTTATTGACTGAGTTCTTCTTTTAAGCCACAAAGCGGAGGATCTCTTTTTCAAGTTGAATTTCAGAGGGGATCAGTAAAGGCAAGAATCAGGATTAAATTGATGGGTTTATTCCACTCAAATGTGAAAGTAGGGATGGGAGGTGGACCGCCAATGGAGAAAAAAAAAAGAAAATCCTGAAATACACAGGAAATACGAGCATTTTGCTCTATGCTGTGGAGAAGTTCAAAAGACAGGCAGGGAGATGAGAGATAATGTGAGCGCGGAGAGCGGTAGAGAAGTCCGAGAAGAGAGAGCATAGCAGATCAACGCAGCGACGCAGACAAGATATCGAACGGTGGGCGGACCATGTTAAGTTTGGTGGAGTCTGTTAGAAGTCCATGGCGCCTAGGGTCCTAGTGACGCGTTTCGATGTAGAAAGGTGGCGCTACCTTTGCACTTGCGTACCCAGCACTTCTAGCCATGGTAAGGGCTTCTTAGGTGGGTCTGAGCCCGAACTTTGCCTTTAAATAAATATAGTACCGCGCAGAAAAGCCGAAGAGAAAGGCTTCCGGACGATGACGGTAAGAAGATATGAGGCTCGTCTTGTAACATGTAATGCGGGGCACATTATACCTTTCAAACTTGACACGAAAAAAATAATGCTGTTCTCCCTTTCTGGTTAATTCCCTCTATGCTAAGCAGCGGCCGAGAAGGGGTGGGGGGATGTGGCAGTCGCAGCGGGGAAACAGCCATGCCAGATCGAAGCATACACTTCGCTGCTAGTTATGTGGAGATTCACACCCTTAGAGTCTGCGTTCGCCAGTAGGTAGGTCTCCTCTTCTTCCCTTCAACCTCGTGCAATTATTCTTCAATTAGCCAACAAATCCGAAGGGATGGAAGTTTGGCTGGTCTTGAGCCTTCGGTCTCACGCATTTTCTAGATGTGGCTTCACTAAATAGCCCTCTGTTAGTTGCACGTGCAGTACAACGGAAGCCTTGCCCTGTCTATATGTATCGGGCAAGACTGTTCTCCGAAGGTTTCACCTGTCGCCGTCTCGAAGTCGTACGAACTGCTCTGCAATAATGCAAGCGAAGGTCGGCCCAACAAGCTGCCTTCGATTGGTTCCTCAAGAATTCCTCCAACGTAGAGATCGAGCTGGAATTACAAAGGTCTCAGTAGTAACAATGCCTGCTTCATTAATGGATATTGTGTAATGTATGGAAGAACACTGGGTAGAATTTTTATGCAGTGGTTCTCTTTTACATGGCTGACCTCATCAGGTGTTCTGTAGAGCTGTGCGACTCGTTCCCGAACAGCTTTCTCTGTCACTTCTGGCCACTGAAAGGTAGAGAATTCACAAATGGTAGAGGAAAGCAGAAATCTTACAAGCGAGGCAAACCTCATTGAAACTAGTGACTGGTCGCAGTTGACACAACTTGCGATACTCGTTGTATGAAGGGAAACCGTGGTCACGTCCTCTCTGAAAGTAAACGCGAGCTGAGCCTAAATAAGCAGCAAGATGGTGTGCTTTTGTGATTGTTCCTCCACTATTCCTCCAGGCCTTTTTGTTGGTTGAAAATTGGGCAATTGTGGGTTATTATGCTCAAATAATGAACGAGTTGTGACAATTGATCAATGAAAGAAAAGCAAAAATCGATGCTTCCCTTAAAACCATGTTCACTAAGAGCAGTTTTGTGCTGAGGCGTGGTTTGGCGCACCCGCCTACTGCTTAGTTTCGTTCTTTTGTTATCAGTGTCGGGCAGTGCTGGTGGATCGGTTTCCACAATTGCTTTCATTTTTTATACGCAATAATCCATTCCAGAGCCAACCGTCACGTTGGACCAATTTTTGAAAATTTCACGACCCCCTCCTCCTTCTAGAGAGCCTCGATACGACCCTTCCCCTCAGGGTCAGCTCTTCACCATCCTCCACCCCTCATCGCTGTCAGTGATAGTGTTTCTATAGTATTGATTCTGAGACCAGTCGACATAGGCCAACTCCTCCTACTTTTTTCCCCATAACTGCGTCGAGCGGGTGGGGGAAAGGACATATTTGAAACGCAAAATTTTTCACGCGCTCAAAATCCCAGCCAACAACACTAATACGCTCTCCTTTTTATAAAAAATCATTCTCTCCCATACTGTAACATTGACGCTACCTCGCGAAATACGACCCCCTCTTTTCCACCCCTCCCCAAATACGACCCCCCTCCTCGACACATGTCCAACGGATGGTTGACCCTGATCCGTTTCCAATTTATTATGCTTTTGGGCCATGAAGTATTGAATGTTAGTTGAATGTTACAAGATACATTTAATAAACATTTGGCACTGTTCACCCTTCACCGCCCCAAACCTCAAGTCAGAGCCTGTGCTACGGGTGCCGGTGCGCAATATTGACGTGGCGCTGACGTATCACATCATTTGGCACCGAACCCGTAAGCTCATTAGCTTACAGCCGACTCGTAACAACTTAAGTGTGCAATACATGTTTTACGGGTAAAAGTACCTCCGAAGACAAGTCCCAGCAAATTTGGTGACTCATGGTGTTCTTGCGCCTTTTGGGGCCAGCGCTTCTGGCGCAAGCTTCAGCGTTCTAGCCGTAAACGAATGTGATAATCGTCTTCTACGGGTGAGACTACTCCTAAAGACAAACTTTCTAGCCAAATGTTAGTCGTGGACATTTTCGGTCCAGTTCTGGAGGAGTGGGGCAGTAAAGGGTAAATAGTGCCAAACATTTTCCTAACCTGGATATTAATTGTGGCCATGTCCGATCCTCCAAACAAGCGCTCCGTAACAGAACTTGTGATTCGCTGAGGACTGCGAGCTGGGGTGGCGATGAAGCCTCTGAATGGCTATTAAATTGCAGCGAGAAAGACAGTAGTCTTTTTTGACGCTATTATTTACCGGTACACCGCATCGATCGCCGACAATACTCGCTCAATTCTTCCAACACCGTCTAGGAACGGAACACGTCCTCTGACTTCCATGTTGGGGCCAATGAGTGGGTAGGACTCCTGCAATTATTATAATAACACTAAATATAATATTAATGTGCTAAGCTGACGGGGGTTGCATACGATCGGAGTATAATCGCTTCACCTGAATCATTCCATGAAGACGATAAGCAGCGGATGCGAACTCGTTGAGCACACCAGGATTCACTGAAGGGTTGTACCTGAAGAGATATGATGAGAGGAGAAATTTTTGAGAGAGGATTTTGAGGGGTACCGAAAACCATCGGAACTTTGCTAGTGAGTACTTGATGCATAGGTCTCAGATATTGGCTAACAGAATATTTCTAATAGAAGGTGAGTTTGTTAATCAGTGATCTGACATACATAAAGAATTTCAACTAAGGTCAAAGGATAAACATTCATTTAATTTTTCGACTCCCAGGCAAGTTGGTAGGTGCCTCGCCCTGGGGAAATACTCGATGACTTGTAGGTAGCGTCAACCGTCCTTTGGTACAAGAACCATCGGGGGTAGTATTTGCGATTTTGAGAAACGATATGTTTGGGCAACTAAATTCGAAGGCAGGGAGTAGTTGTAATTAGAGTGGTTGAGCTGGTCGTATTTGCGAAAGTCAAAGAGGGTTGTTTTAGATGGGTTTTGACGGTTTTTGGAAAAAAAATATTCCAGGAAAAAAAATTCAGAGCACCGGCCCCTTTAGAGAAACTCAAGATAGCCATGTTTACCCTTCCTCCTCCCATGGCTGCTCTTTTGGAGGGTAACTGGGGCTGGAGGGAGTTCGAGTGTGTAGATTAGTGTCAAATTCCTAGAAACAGTCATAGTGGTCATGGTGGTATTTGTGGATTGGGGTAAGAACGTTTGAGGGTCTTTTCTAAAGGTTACAGTGGTAGTGGGGTCGGAATTTTTTGAAAAAATACCAAAGTTGGTGTTCACCCCACTTGTGGGAGGACTGCTTCAAGAGATCACAAGTGCCATATCGAAGGCTTACTTATTGTGCCCCCTGCGAACATTTATTTGCTGAATCAAGCATCAACACGCCAACCCATGCTTTTG